CTGATACATGGAGATACTCAATACTTTTTGGTAAGTGAAATAAGATTAATATTATACCTTGGAAGGTAAATTTCTAGGGTAATTAAAAAAAATCTTTCATACAGAATAAGAAAGAGGATAAAACTTCCAAACTAATATGGGAGTGGAGAATGGAATAATAAAAACCAATCAAAAATAACATAAGAGGTGCCTGGGTGGCTCAGTCGGTTAAGCATCTGCCTTTGGCTCAGGTCATGATCCCAGGGTCCTGGGATCGAGCCCCGCGTCGCTTCTCCCTCTCCCTCTGCTGCTCCCCCTACTTGTGCTCTCTTGCTCTCTCTCTGTGTCAAATAAATAAATAAAATCTTTAAAAAAAAATAATGCGGCCAGTAGAGAGAAATAAGATTACATAAGAAGGTAGTCATTTGAATCTATACTTACAGAAATTACATTAAATACAAATAGTCTGAATTCCTGATTAAGAAAAAAGTTGTCAGACTAGATTAAATAGAAAACCAACATTTGATGTTTACCGGAGACACATCCAAAACAATTATGGCTATATTTTGAAAAAGAGCGCTAGAGATATTCACTGATATATATATGATAATGATAATAATGATATACTGTTTGCAGTTTGCCTTAAAATAATTTGAGGTGAGGGTAGGAAATGGGGAGATGGGAATATAGATGAAAGAAGGCTGATTATGTACTATTAATTATTGAAGCTGGAGGATGGGTACATGGGAATTTTTATGTTATTCTCTCAACTTTTACATGGTTTGAAATTTTCCATAACAAATTATGACCAAGTTGAGTTTATCACTCAAATAATGGAAGGATTGTTTAACATTAAAATACCAATCAATGTAATTTGCTACATTAACATATAAAGGAGAAAATGTTAAGATCAGTTGATGCAAAAAAATCATGTGACAAAAATCTAACATGCATTCATAGTTAAAATTGTTAACAAGTTAGGAATAGAAGATAATTTCCTTAATCTGATAAAGTTTGGGTACCAAACAACAACAAAAAACCCAAACAAAAATAAAAACAAAAAAACCTACTGCAAAGATCATATTTAATGGTGAAACATTGAAAACTTTACCTTTGAGATTGGGAACAAGACCAGATGTCCTGTATAACTACTCTGTTCAACATTGTAGGAATGTCCTAATAACGATTGAAGAGGAAGAAATAAAGTTGTCAGTATTCAGATTCAGTAATGATGTGATTGTGTACACAGAAAGTACAAAAGAATCTATAGATAAGTTATTCCAATTAGAGTTTAGATATGTTACAAGAAATAAAATCAAAATAGAGAAAAATCAATTATTTCTATTTACCAAAAAAAAAAAATTGTTAGAACATACCTCTACAAAAGTATCAAATACCTATGAACTAATCTAATAAAAGATTTGTGGGTGCCTGGGTGTCTCAGATGGTTAAGCGTCTGCCTTCAGCTCAGGTCGTGATCACAGGGTCCCGGGATCGAGCCCCGCATCGGGGTCCCAGCTCAGCAGGGAATCTGCTTCTCCCTCTCCTTCTACTGCCCCCTCTGCTTGTGCTCTCTCACTCTCTCTGTCAAATAAATAAAATCTTTAAAAAATATATTTGTAAGACTTCTTTAGCTAAAATGATATTAATGAGAAAAATAAAAGATATTAATCAAAATCTAAACAGATTTCCATGTTATAAAAGGGTAGACTTAATATTTATAAAGATGTTATTTTTCGTTACATTGCCAGGCAATCAAAATTCAAAGATATGTTGACTCTAAATTTTATATGGAAATGCAGAGGTCCAAGTTAAGCCAAGACATTCTTACAGAAGAACAAAGTTTTCCTAGATAAGACTTGTTCTGTTATCAAGACTTAACAATAGTTCACGAAGAATTAAGGTAATGGGGTGGGGGGATGGGTTAGCTCAGTGATGAGTATTAAGGAGGGCATGTATTGCATGGAGCACTGGGTGTTATATGCAAACAATGAATCCTGGAACACTACATCAAAAACTAATGATGTACTGTATGGTGACTAACATAACATAATAAAATACAATTTAAAAAAAAGGAATTAAGATAATGTGCCACTAGGGTAAGGATAGATAAATAGACCAAAGGAACAGAGTAGAGAGCTCAGAAACAAAGCCATGCATATGTGAACACTTGATTTATAAGAAGAGTAGCACTGCATAGCAGTGGGAAGAGAATGGGTTTTTCAGTAAATGATAGTGGTATCCATATTGGATCCTATCACACCATACCAAAATCTGTACTAGGTAGATGCTAGCCCTAAATGTGAAAAGGAAAATAATAAAGATCTTGGAGGATGTGATAATCATTAATGCTGTCCACCAAAGTTTTTCTAGTTCATTTTCAGGTTCGTGTTAGGATTATAATTTCCTACTCCCTTGAACTAGATATAGCCATATAACTTGCTTCAGTCAATGTAATGTGACTAGAAGTGATGTGCGCTTCCTTGCAGAATCTTTAAAATTCAGTGAATGATTCATCCTGTTGTTTTTCCCATTGTCGTGGCAACTGGTGATGCTCCAGGTGCTGGCTACTCTGTTCCAGAGTACTACTGGGTCCCAGTTTGAAAACAAGCCAACCCTGTGCTGGATAAGCAAAACAAACATGAACAAAAATAAACCTTGGGGCGCCTGGGTGGCTCAGTTGGTTAAGCATCTGCCTTTGGCTCAGGTCATGACCTCAGGGTCCTGGAATCGAGCGCTGCGTTGGGCTCCCTGCTCAGTGGGGGGTTTGTTTCTCCCCGCCCTCCGCCTCCACCCCCCTGCTCATGCTCTGTCTCTGCCTCTCTCTCCAATAAATAAAATCTAAAAAATTAAAAAATTAAAAAACAACAAAAAATAAACCTAGCATTTTAATATGATAAGATTCTTGTAGTTGCTTGTTATTGTAATATAATCTGGATTATCCTCACTGATAGAGAAATTGCTATGAGGAATGGGATTTTTTGTGACAAAAAATAAAATGTATGTCAGTGGTTTAAGAGTTGATGGTAGATAGCAAGAAAGCGGATATTTAAGGATGAAAAGGACATCTATGTTATCCAGGGGCAAAATATTTGTTAAGCTGTTGTCTGCAATACTTTATAAGATGAACAAGATACCTAATGAACCTGTAGCTATCGGGAAAAGTTTTGGAAAACATAACGTGTTCCCTGCTGTTGGCTGCGTTACACAAGGTATTACAAGAGCAGATGAGCTCAGAAAAGAACTGACCATTTTGTAGCAAGACTAAAAAAGAACACAGTTGAAAAATTTGGGGAATTGAAGAGTTGGAAAACACAGCTTCTCTCAACCGCAATTACTGAAAGATAAAACTGAAAACGTGTTGAGTAACAGTAAACTCAGGGTCTGGCAAAGATGAAATGAGATTATAGTCTTGACATCATTGTTAAAACCTCTGAAAAGCCTTTGTGAAAGTACTTGTTTCAGAGTAAAGATCAAACTAAGGGTGTGGTGTGCAATATATTCTTTTAGTTTGACAAAATGGTTTATGGAAAAGAGACTAAAAATGTGGCTCTCCCACTGAGGTCTGGTAAGTTTAATTTACCTACAAATAAGTAGAAAGAGAGTCATGGAAGACAGAAAGCAATGATACAGAGCAAATCTAAGAAGAATGTCTAGAAAAAAGCTATTGCTAGAGTTTTTGAAGCCTGGAAATGACACTAATAGATAAAAAGTCTACTATGTTTTTTAAGAGAGTTATATTAAAGAAACCATGAAACAGGATATTAGAAATCTGTGGCTCTTGGGGGGCCTGGGTGGTTCAGTCGGTTAAGCATCTGACTCTTGATTTCGGCTCAGGTCATGATATGGAATCAAGCCCTACGTCATGTTCCCCGCTGGGCATGGAGCCTATTTAGGATTCTCTCTCTCTCTCCTCCTCTCCCTCTGCCTCTCCACCCCCATGTGCTCTCTCTCTCTTACAAAAAAAAAAAAAAAGTAGAAGAAAAAGAAGTCTGTGACTCTTTAGGACTTAAAATGATTTTGTAAGCATATACTGAAAAAAAGTAGGCTCTCTGAGAGCTGCGCAGCTCCCAGGGAGACATATTCTCTTTGGTGTGGACAAGTAGTATAAAAAAAACAACAACATATTCCCAGAGCATGGAACCGTGGGCCACAAAGACACTGGACAAAGAACATCCTCTCAAGAAGCAGACTGTGGACCTAATCAGGATATATTATACACCCATCAGATAAAGGGCTTTCAAAATGTCTTGCCAGGCACATTTCAAAATTGCTATGAATCGATGACTGTTGTATTTCTTTAATTTTTCCATTTTCTAAGGGGAAGTGTTTATTATTGTCACAAGTCCCTTTCTCTTATTATATATATTCACATTTTGTTTTTCTATGTAATTGGACATTTTTAACTAAAGTCTACGTTTTTCTCTGCAACAGGTTTTTAATAAATATCAATTCTTAAAATGTATATGAAATCACTTTGTATTTCTGTTATTAAAGTGTTCTAAAGAAAAATAATCATTAAAATAAAACTCCCAGAGTTCACAGACTTTAGATGTAAAGAAGGAGATGTCAAAGTTAAGTAAAATATTTTGCCTAAAAGGATTATGACTCTTGCAAGTAAAATATGTATAAGCAAGTAATAAAGGTCAATGAGAAAATTTAGATGAAATTAAATGCTTTTGGCCTAAAATGTTTGAGATTTTTCTATCTGAAGTAAAATATTTTATTTCAATATTACTGAGTTGTTTATATTGACCCATATATTGACTCATATATTCTAGTTTGTTTCCTTCAAAAAATAGATTATATTTCTTTCGCTATCCACTTGCTAGTAAATTTTCTTTGTTGTCCACACTAGTTGTATCATTTGGATGCTTTAAAAGAATCATAATTATGTAACTTTATCTCCAGGGTTTTCTTTCCTTATATGACATTTGGCGTTTTTTAAGGTTACATTTTTTTCAGTGATTTTTACATTTCTTCAGATCAATGCCCTTCACTTTGTTTTTCCAAAGGGAATATCCATGATGAATGATTATATAGAGATAATTCCATCACCTTGGAGACCCAGATCTACAGAGATTGGTTGCTTGCCTGGAATGTACATTATAGGTAAGCAATTTCTCCTAAGTGTTCTTGTTTATTTAAAAGAAGAGTTGCTTCAAAAAATTACTTTCTCTGCAATTTTCCACTATTAATTATTTATAAAATAAGAACCTATGGTTCTCATCTGTGATATTGCCATATATTAACTCTGCTGCTGATAAAATTTGTCACGTATAATTTTATTTCTCTAAAAGATGATATAAACAGTAGGTTCTTTCAAATCTGTTGGGGAAATTATACTCTTGGTTCTTCTATGTCTTTTCTCCTATTTGGTACTTCTGGATATCAATTCAGTTTTATAGAGGAAAATAAAACAAGACAAATCCCAGACTGCACAGTAGCTAGCCAGCGGGTCTCCTATCATATACATGTCATTAGGCATTTCTCATACCTGTTTTGTAAGCTCACTGATATTTAGTTTGGTAGGTTAGGAGGTTTTTTTTTTTTTTAATATATAACTTACCCTAATATTGAAGTGCAATTCCCACACCTCAGCTATCCCACAATTCATTTTACCAACCCTACCTAGAAGGTATGATAGAGAGAGCACGTTAGATTAAGACCCTGAACTGGTAGACGAGGAAGGCTAAGCCTGTCAACTAATTATCCTTGTGATTGAGAAAAATATTTGTGAAAGTACTTGTTCTTATTGCAAATAATCTGAAATGGATGAATACGGAGAATTGAGTGGAATGTCCACTGCTCAGCATTTCTGATAAGATAGAGAGATGAGAGAATATGGGCACAATTTGAATAGATACCTCAAAGGTGAAGTTGATTGTATTATTACTACCGGTATTCATTAGGAAGTCACACACACACACTGTCTTCCTCTTGGCCCCCAGCCCCAGGAATCCCTGTTTACCAGTCTACTTCCTAAAGCTCATCCTTCCCTTTTTTCTCTCTTTAAAAATGTTTTCTGGGGCACCTGGGTGGCTCAGTTGTTAAGTGTCTGCCTTCGGCTTACGTCATGATCCCAGGGTCCTGGGATCGAGCCCCACATCGGGCTCCCTGCTCGGCGGGGAGCCTGCTTCTCCCTCTCTCACTCCCCCTGCTTGTGTTCCCTCTCTCGCTGTCTCTCTCTGTCAAATAAATAAAATCTTTAAAAAAAATTAAAATAAAAATGTTTTCTTCCAATATCTTCTCAGTTTTCAGCTACTTTGTGGCTTTAGCTATAATTCCTTAGACTCTTTTAATACAATTTTCTCCCATTAGATTATCAATTTTATCCAAGAAACATTTATAAACAGCCTGCTCTTCCTAAGGCTTTGCCTTAGATATTAGGTATGATACAAAGTGGAGAAAGGAGCTAATATTTTGGAGTGCCTACTCTAAGTAAGAAGACACTGTGCTTGACATTTCATCCACATTGTTTAATTCCTATAGCAACCTTATTATATACTATTTCCCCATTTTACTTATGAAGACATTAGGCTCACAGAGGCTAACTGGTGCAATGTTACACAGTCAACAAAGCTGGAATTCAAACCCTAGTTTAATTTTAAAACCCGTTATCTGTCTTCAATATTTTGCTATATCGAAAATGACGGAGGTGATTGCAATGTTAGGAATGTTCATAAACCATATTTCTAGGCAGACTTAAGTACTTGTTAGAATGAAGTGCCATAGGAATGCCAAGGAGAATTAATTCCATCTGGGAGGCCAAAGAAGCTCAACAAAGAAGATGGCTTTAAAAGTGGCCTTGAAGGATGCATATTTCATTAAACAGGTAAAAGGGACAGTGAAGGACAGCTGAAGCAAAGGCAAGTTGGCTCTACAGCACACACAGTATCTAGGGAATGGAGGCCTTCAGATGCCAAAAGGAGTTCACCTTTAGAAGCAATGAGCCATCCCAGGAGTTTGAGCAGGGGAGTGATGTTCTCCATGCCAAGTTTTGAGGGAAAGAGCACTGCAGCACTGTGAAGGAGAATGAAATTATTTTAGTGGTGCACGTGAGAATCAGGATCCGAGGGAAATGCAGGAAAAACTAGGGAACCACAAAAAGGTGCTCAAAAGCCCAGTCTATGTTGAATCACAGACCTGTACCTCTGAAACAAAAAATACAATATATGTTTAAAAAAAAAAGAAGAAGAACATAGCGGGAGGGGAAGCATGAAGGGGGGGAAATCAGAGGGGTAGACGAATCATGAGAGACGATGGACTCTGAAAAACAAACTGAGGGTCGTAGAGGGGAGGGGGTTGGGAGGATGGGTTAGCCTGGTGAAGGGTATTACAGAGGGCACGTTCTGCATGGAGCACTGGGTGTTATGCACAAACAATGAATCATGGAACACTTCATCTAAAACTAATGATGTAATGTATGGGGATTAACTGGATAACAATAAAAAATTAAAAAAAAAAAGAAGCCAAGTCTATTGGATGCTGAAAGTGAGGGATATGAGAGAATTAAATGTTACTGAGGCTTCTAGACTAGGTGACTGAGAGGGTAATGATTCTAGTCACCACAAGAGGGAGCACAGTGGAGGAAACGTTTCATTAGAATAATAGAGTTGAGTTCTTGGTGCTAGGGCCATGCATGCGGAGCTACCTCACAGCAAGTTGTCTGGAGCTAGACTCGCAAGCTGGGATGATTTCCATGGGGCCATGGGGATAAGACACAGTAAGAGAGGGTAGAAGACAGAGTCCTGGGAATACCTCCATTTAGAAGTATATGTGGGTTATGGTTACCTGGGATAGGGGGTGGTACTTGTTAGATTAGGTAGGCCAGGGTCTGACTGAGGGATTTGGGGATTGGGTGCAACTCTTAGTGAATGAGAAGCCAGAGAACGAGTAAACGGGCCAGGCTGGGGAGATGCAGGGCAGGGGATGAAGGTTGTGTGCACCGTCTGGGGGTGGTGTAGCAGGAACAGTTTTAATCTCTTTCTACTTAAGAGTTTGTCTCTCGGGGAGTCATGAGCAATGGTGGGAGGTCCCCAACCAAGAATCCCTAACACACCGGAGAGTCTGGCTTTAGTGACAGTTCATGGATAGCCTTCTCCTTCCATTTACTGTCTCAACACACACCTCCCTGAATGTGCTCCCAGACTCCGGGCTTTTAATTTACTCTCCTTCTATTTATTGTTACCTTCCTTACAAGCAAACTGAACTATAAAGGTTAGCAACAGGGAGATTTTTGTGGGATGAGATGGTTCTGTATTTGATTGCAGTACTGGTTACACAAATTCACACGTGATAAAATGGCAGAACCTCACCCGTTTTTTTTTTTACCAATGTTAGTTTCTTAGTTTTGATGTCATACTATGGTTTTATAAGATATAAGCATTAGGGAAACTGGGTGAAGGATATAGGGTTGTCTCTGTACTATCTTTACAACTTCCTGAAAATCTGTAATTATTTCAAAATACAAAATTTTTTTAAAAAGGCACATGAGGGATGCCTGGGTGGCTCAGTCGGTTAAGCGTCTGCCTTTGGCTCAGGTCATGATCCCAGGATCCTGGGATCGAGTCCCACATCGGGCTCCTTGCTCAGTAGGGAGCCTGCATCTCCCTCTGCCTTCCTCTCTCTCTCACTCTCTCTCTCTGACAAATGAGTAAATAAATCTTAAAAAAAAAAAAAGGCAGATGATCTTGTATAGTCGATCTCTCTTTGATATCTTTGTTTTTGACCAGTTGACTGACAACAAATTTGGGGCCTTTCTTTTTTTTTTTTTAAAGATTTTATTTATTTTGACAGAGAGAGAGAGACAGCGAGAGAGGGAACACAAGCAGGGGGACTGGGAGAGGGAGAAGCAGGCTTCCCGCTGAGCAGGGAGCCCAATGTGGGGCTCGATCCCAGGACCCCGGGATCACGACCTGAGCCGAAGGCAGACGCTCAATGACTGAGCCACTCAGGTGCCCCGAATTCGGGGCCTTTCTTAATATCCCTTTAATTGTTTTTTATAAACCTAGAAGTTTATTTTTTTTCCCCTTGGTTTCGGTTCGACTTGCTTCTAGATCTGTCTGGCTTGCAATTCCAATACTACTGTGTCATCACCATTATACATATTTTACTATTTTGAAAAGGATAGAAAGATACACTATAAATAAGATATAACTGCATATGTTCACATATATAGGTTTATAGGACACAGCTTAATCAATCAAGAGGTTTAACAATGACCAGTGGGCTTTTTTTTAAACTCACCATCCACACGTTTATATATATAGGCTCTATATTCTTGTATTATTCTGTCCAAAAGACCCTGAAGCATATAATCTTCCACATTTTACCAATAAGAAAACTAAAACAGTAACAGAAATAATTGCCCTAAGATGATTCAACCAGTGAATGCTCAGGCCAAAGATGGAAGTAAATCTTTCAACTCTTTCAATTGTGACTATTTACTTAATTAGCCACTAAAAAAAAAAAGAAGTTCGTACTTACCACAAGCAGCAAAAGAAAATCAGGCAGATGCCTAAAAGACACATCAAACATTTCTATCTTCCATTCTCTGTGGAAATTGATGACAGAAAATAAGAGAGAGGTGTTTTATGCATTTATTTATTTTAAAGCATCATGTATGTATTGAGGGCCTTAAATTCAAGACCCTATGCTGCTTGTTCCTAGCAATACAAAGAATTAAAATGTCCATGTACTCAAGGGGGGTTATACTATAGCTGGTGAAACATTAATTTACCTGTAAAAAGTAATTAACATCGCAATTACAGTATGAACCACAATTGGCTAGTATAATAAGAAAATTATAAAAGTAATATATTGGGGCACCTGGGTGGTTCAGTCATTGAACGTCTGCCTTCGGCTCAGGTCATGGTCCCAGGGTCCTGGGATCGAGTCCCACATCGGGCTCCCTGCTCGGCGGGAAGCCTGCTTCTCCCTCTCCCATTCCCCCTGCTTGTGTTCCCTCTCTCGCTGAGTGTCTCTCTTTGTCAAATAAATAAAAAATTAAAAAAAAAAAAAAAAGAGAAGGTGGGCAATTGGGGGAATGGGGTTCTCAATCTTGTAGAAGGAATAGAAGGAAACTGGTAAGAGCATAGACTTTTCTTCTG